GCTCCCGCTCCTCGACAAGGCGACGGCAAAAGAGGCATGGGATGCCATCGCTGCGACTCGTATCGGTGTGGACAGGGTCCGCCGAGCGACGCTGGCTGTCTCAAGGCCGGAGTGGGAGAACATTGACGTCAAGCCTGGCGAGCCGGTGGAGGATTTTGCCTGCGGGTCATCAACTCTGCAGCGAATGGTGGTGCTTCATGGAGACAGGGACATCGATGAGGCGCGTGTTGTGGAAAAGTTTTACGCGACGCGTGCCGAGGCCAAAAGCACGTATGCAGATCGTCGTCGCCATTGAGCAGTTCCTCGACTTCGAGGCGCTCACGCTTGAAGAGGTGACAGGAAGGCTCAAGGCGGTGGATGACCGTGAAGCGCAAGCTGTGACAGAGCCGGTGTCCATCAACGGCAAGTCAGCTTGTATGACACCGAGGGAGCAAGCGATGGCGCGCTGCTTGAGGAAGGAGAAGAAAGGTGCAGAAGAAGCTGGCGGTTCTAGTTTCAAGAACCAGCGCGGCGGTGGAGGAGGACCCACCATGAGGTGGACGCGGACGGGTAGAGAGTCTTGCCGCCGTGGCGGCGACGACGTGGAGAAGGCAATGGCGCCGCCGTGTTGGCCTCTAACACGTGTCTCAACCGCCATCGGGAAGGGCATTGGCGGCGTGAATGTCCCTCACCGCGCCGTGATGGAACAGAGCCGCGGCGGTGGGGAGGAAATCATGGTGGACGCGGGCGGCGAAACCGTGGAGGAGGCCGTGGCGGTAACCAAGTCGGGCGACAAGGAGGACATGAAGGGCGTGCCCTCAGCTTTTCTTTGAGTGTGAGGAAGATGCGCTCTGTTCTCGCCTCACGGCTTCATTGAGATGGAACAGAGCACGCCGGAGCTCAACTATACAAATGCCGCAACGCGTTGAGTTCTTTGAGCCACGCGCGTGCTTATCCGGGAGCAGATGATGAAGAGATGGTGGCGGTGGTACCTTTTGATTCAGCGCAACACACCACATGACCGGGCGGCGTGACTGCTTTTCGAGACTCGAACACGGACGTTCGAGGCACGCGGTTCGGTTCGGGGACGCGCCCAAGGTGGAAATCAAGGCGTTGGCTCAATTGTTTTTGAAGCAAAGACCGGTGAGCATCGTGTTCTTCATGGAGTTTATTTCATTTCGGCGTTGAAGAACTCGATCATGAGCCTCGGTCAACTTGATGAGAATGGCTCAAAGGTGGTGATTGATGATGGAGTATCATGGATTTGGGAACGCAGCAATGGTCGCCATCATCGCCAAGGTGAGGCGTGGCGCGAACCGGGTCAGAGTGTATCGTGATATGAAGACAAAGACACCAAAGTGTGTCTTTGTCGCTTGTGAGGATGAGGAGGCGTGGCAATGGCATGAGCGTTTTGGGCATCCGAATTTTGAGGTTCCTGCGGAGGCTTGGCAAGGAGGAAATGGCAAGAGGGATGACAAAGATCGATCATGTTGAGCAAGTGTGTGACACTTGTGTCACCACCAAAATGAGGAGGCGATCATTTCTGCCGCAAAGAACATATCGTGTTCAGGATCACCTTGAATTGGTGCATGGTGATCTCTCGTGGGCCGATTACACCAAAGAACTTCGGCAGTAATCGCTATATTCTCGCCGCTTGTAGATGATGCCACACGATTCATGTGGGCAAGGTCATTGTCATCTAAGGATGCCGCAGCAGATGCTATCAAGAAGGTGAAGGCTGCTGAAGTGGAGAGTGGGCGTAAAATCGAAAGTTCTCGCGCATGATAATGGAGGAGAGTTTCATCGCTGCAGAATTTTCGCTTATTGTGCCAATGAAGGAGTCAAAAGGCATTACAATGCTCCTCATTCACCACATGCAGAATGGCGTGGTGGAGCGAGAAATCAAACCGTGGTGGCCATGGCACGTGCCTTACTCAGCGGCGCCAGATGCCGCCCAAGTTTTGGGGGAGGCGGTGATGATCGCTATGCATATTCGAATCGGTCACCAAGGCTCTAGGTGATGTCACTCCCTATGAAGCATGGCATGGACGAGCACCCACCGTTGGCCATCCCAAGGTGTTTGGTTGTGTGGTATATACTCGCCGCTTGTCTCATTTCGAAACTTGATGATCGTGGTGAAGCCGGAGTATTTATTGGCTATCTTTGAAGGAGCAAAAGCCTATCGAAGTTTTGATCCAAAGATCTCGGCGATGTACGTGTCGGTACCGAGATGTGGTTTTGATGAAGGAAGAGGTTGGAATTGGACATCACCAGCAGCAGTACGTGCTCTGGGCAAATTGGTAGTGATTTTGTGGTGGAATTTCCTTGGGAGGAAGAAGTCCCCGGAGTCGGAGGTTCAAGGCGGCCACACTCATCTCTCAAATTTCCCCATTCTCGCTTCACACCAAGCTTTCAAAGAAGCCGAGAATCGGTGCTTGATGCAGGGAGAAGAGGTGTCGAGACATCCGTAACGCCTTCACCATCACCGGCCCACCAAACCCACAAGTGGAGAGCACGTGGACTTTGGAAGATGATGAGGAACGGCTGGATACTTATCATTAACGACGCATTTAGCAATGCGCTTATCGCACCATAGATGGCATATTGGGTGGGAACAGAAGTTCTTGCCTTGGCGCATAGCCGCTTGTTCGCAGAGCTCCACCTCACCCACTGGGAACCCATTTCTTATGCAGAGGCAAAGATGATCCTGCATGGCGGCAAAGAATGAAAGAGGAGTCTGCTACTGTTGAGCGCAATGGCACCGGGAGCTTGTGTCTCCCGAGTCGGCCATCGCCAATTCTCTAAAATGGGTCTACAAGTCAAGAAAGATGAGAAAGGAGATGTGATCAAGCACAAGGCTTGGCTTGTTGCTCGTGGGTTTGTGCAAAGCAAGAGGGTGTTGATTATGAGGATGTGTTCGCTCTGCTTGCGCGATAGAATCAAGTGAGATCGCTGCTTGCTCTCTAGCTGCCCAGAAGGATGGACTGCTCATCATATGGATGTCAAGTCGACTTTTCTAAATGGAGAGCTCAAGGAAGAAGTATATGTCCAAAGTGACCACTGGGTTTGCTATTCTGGGAAGAAAGCAAGGTATATCTTTCGCACAAAGCTTTGTATGGGTCAAGTAGCACCTGTATGGAACGCTAAGTTGGACTCTACTCAAGGAAATGGGGTTCAAACAGAGCAAACATGAAGCAAACAATTTAAGGTGAAAGGTTCAGAGGGCTCGGTGTTGTTTGGTTGGGGTCTATGTTGATGATCCGATCATCTTTGGGAGCGCATAAAGATGAAGTAAAGGCTTTCAAGGAAAGGATGAAATCCACCTTTGAGATGAGTGACTTGGGTTTGCTCGGTTTCTACCTTGGCATTGAAGTGCAAAGAAGGCAAGAATGGGACCACCATGAGGCGCACTCACTATGCCAAGAAAATCCTAGAACTGGGAAGCATGTCCGATTGCAATCCAAATAGCCTACACCAATGGAAGAGCGCTCAAGCTCAGCAAGCATAAATCGCCAAGGAGGTGAATCCAACTCAAGATAGGAGGTGGTTGAAGCTTGAGATACTGGTTCATACCAGGCCGATTTGGCTTTCTCGGTGAGCTATGTGAGCAGATTCTTGGAGAAACCGACCAATCGAGCACCAAACAAGCGGTCAAGAGGGTGCCGAGGTACTTATTGGAACATTGGACTATGGTCTGCAGTTCAAAAGAGCCCCAAATTTCGCTAGGTTTGTGGGCTCTTGTGATTCGACTCTAGCCGGTGATATTGACTCCAAAAAAAAGCACAACAAAGTTGTCTGTTCTTCTTTGGCAACAACTTGGTCGGTGGCAATCTATCAAGCAGAGGGTGGTGGCTTTGTCTAGTTGTGAGGTGAATATGTGGCTATGACTTCAAGAAACAACACAAGCCCTGTGGGTGCCAAGATTGTTGGGTGATTTGTTGGGAAGAAAGGTGGAGACTATGGAACCGAGGGTTGACAACAAGTCTGCAATTGCACTTGCTAAGAACCCATCTTCCATGACAGAGCAAACATATCGAGTTAAGCAACATTTTATCGTGGATTGTATTGAAGAAGACAGCATTAGGACTGAGTACATCCCTACAGCTGATCAATTGGCAGACATTCTCACTAAGGCTTTGGGCAAGGCCAAGCTTAAAGATATGAGAAGCAGAATTGGCATCAAACAGATCAAGAAGGGTTGAAGCAGGTCTTAGGGGGAGAACTGTAGCTGTAAGCCCTACTTCCCAGGCACATTTAGCGTATTTAAGTTTTTAGTTAATCTATGTCATTAAGTCCTTGGGTAGCCCAAGAGTTGTGCGGGTACCCAGGCAGATATTCTGTCTAGTTAAAGCTCTAGTGAGCTGTATGTGATCAATGCAGTACTTATCCTCTATATATTGCAATGCAGTCGCCTGGGAGAGTTGCCCTGGCTGATTATTTCTCTGTTAACTCCAACACATGGCAGCAGTAACCTCAGATTCATACGGTCTGTAACAAATACCACGGGTATCATTTCAGAATTCAGATAAGAATTATAGGTGCTACCGGCATTCGTAATGGTCGAGATGGGGCCTCATAAGCTGCTTGGCGCGTAACAATCTTCTTCCTGAGCAATGGCACCGCCATCTATGATCCACAATCGCAAAGAAACAACAAAATTGTCAATCGGAGAAAGAACTACGAAACCAAATGCCAAATAGCCGCGAGCCTACGAAAAGCTCTCTACCTTCGGAACTTGGAAGCTCACAAAGACACGAACCCTACCCTTATGACGAGAAGAACGGCGCGACGGCGGCGAGGACATCAACGAGGAACAGATAAATATACTCCGCAAACCCTAAGAGCCGTGGGCTTTAATAGTCCAGCTCCATGCAACTCAAGGCCTACCAGCCCATGTACAGTGGCAGGTCCCATTTCGTCAGTGGGCTATTTGCCATTCCCATTTCGACCCAGGCCCAGCTAGACGGGTGGAACCGTCCACGAATCGGAGCGCAGTGTGGCGACCGCAACCGAGGTGAGCCATGTCGGCGGCCGCCGTCCTGTGCCGGCTTGGGCTCGGCCTCCGCCGCCTCTCCACACTTCCCGAGTTCCCTGCGGCCGCGGCCGCGGCCGGGGCGCCGCAGCCACAGCACGCGACCTCGAAGGACGCTTACTTCGCGGTGGTGCACAACCTCTCCACCATCGTGCGACGCGACTTCTACCTGGAGCGCACCCTGAACCGCCTCCGCCTCCCGTCCCCGTTCCCTCCCGACCTGGCGCTCCGCGTCATCCGCGCCGCCGCCCCCGCCGCGCCGCTCCACGCCACGCGCTTCCTTGCTTGGCTCCGCGCCAAGCCGTCCTTCACCGCCTCCGCCGAGCACTTCGACGCGCTGCTCCTCCCGCTCGCGCGCGCGCGGCTCTTCCCGCACCTCTGGTCCCTCGCCTCCGACATGCGCGGACTCGGCCTCCCCCTCTCGCCGACCACCTTCTCCGCGGTCATCTCGTCCTACGGCCACTCTCGCCTCCCCGACCAGGCCGTCGAGGTGTTCAACCGCCTCCCTCGATTTGGCTGCCCGCAGACCACCGAGGTCTACAACGCCCTCCTCGACGCGCTCTGCGCCAACGGCAACTTCACCGGCGCCTACAAGCTGCTCCGCAGGATGGCGCGCAAGGGCGTGGCCCCCGACCGCGCCACGTTCAGCACCCTCGTTGACTCCTGGTGCGCGGCGGGGAAGCTCAAGGAGGCGCAGGCGTTCCTCGACGACATGGCGAGCCGCGGGTTCCGCCCGCCGGTGCGCGGCCGTGACCTCCTCGTCGACGGGCTCGTCCGCGCTGGGCACTTAGAGGAGGCTAAGGCCTTCGCCCTCCGCATGACCAAGGAGGGCATCCTCCCTGACGTTGCTACATTCAACTCCCTTGCCGAGGCGCTCTGCAATGCTGGAGATGTGGACTTCGCCGTGGCTCTTCTTGCTGATGCTTCCAGTCGAGGCCTCTGTCCAGACATCTCAACATACAAGGTAATGCTACCAGCTGTGGCCAAGGTTGGCAAAATTGAGGAGGCATTCAGGTTGTTCTATGCGGCTGTTGAGGATGGCCATCGGCCATTCCCGAGTCTCTATGCAGCGATCATCAAGGCGCTTTGTAAGGCAGGGCGCTTCGCAGATGCTTTCGCCTTCTTTGGTGATATGAAGATGAAGGGGCACCCACCGAATCGCCCTGTGTATGTGATGCTCGTCAAAATGTGTGTGAGGGGCGGTCGGTTTGTGGAGGCTGCAAATTACCTCGTTGAGATGAGTGAGGCAGGGTTCACACCCCGGGCACCAACCTTTAATGTTGTAGTTGATGGGCTTCGACATTGTGGGAAGCATGACCTTGCCCGGAGATTGGAACAGCTTGAGGTGTCCCTGAAGGAAATTAAATGGATGGGGAACTAGATGCAGTTTCTCTTCCAGTTGGGGCCTTGCAAGCTGCGTGGTGCTGCTACTAGATTTTCAGGTAGAAATGGCACTTACATTTCTTCTTCATGTAAATTTTTATCTCTTTCCATAAGCTAGTATATGCTATTTTGTTGTGTCTAATAAAGTTTTCTAACTTCTCAACGGTCCACAATAAGGTTTATGGATTATTACTTTTTAATCTGTAAACGGATCATCTATTCCGTGGTTAAATGGTGTATACTTTTAGTTAATGAATTCACAGTTGAGTTGTGCACTGAAAGCTATCATGATCAACAGAAGTATATACAGTAAGTTGAATCAGTGATTGTATTAAATGTATTTATGTATTGTTAATTGTCCCCGTTGATGCTCAATAATGTGGAAGAAATACTCAGAATATTTGATTGAATACCAACTTTAGGAGGCAAGTTGCCTTTGTTGTACAGTTCCATAGCTCAATGTTGCTGCTTAAACCCCTGATGCATTTGTACCAATTAACTGTCTTGAAATTACGATATTTTTACTCCTGATTTGTCATCTAAATTTGTCTCTCCTATAACCTTACTTTCTTACTTATGTACCTACAGTGATGGAATCATATATAGCAAACCCAATGTTAATTTACAGTTTGACCCTAGAAGACAAATGCAAAATGAAGTGACGATTCTTTCTTAGTAGCAGCTAGATGCTTAGGTAATTTTCTTTACTTCTAAGACTTCAAAGCAAGTGAGAAAAAATGAATGAATGACATCAGTTGGATAAAGAAGGGGGAACTTGTCTATATTTACTACTACAATGTACAGTCTGTACATATGACATATCTAATTTGCTGGGATAGTCTAGTTTTGTTCTATCTATAAATAAATAAATGTGCCTAATTTTGTCCTATGGTAGATGTTCGCAAAGTGAGCAGAAGTTAAGACCTGAAGCTCAAATACTATTGAAATTTATGGTTGATGGTACAAAAGGATTTATCTGTTCGGTATAAATGTGAGTTTTGAATATAGACTACACTGTCTTATTAGCACTCAGAAAAATTGTGTAGCATTGGTATTCCTCTACTGAATTGTAATGTCTCAAACGTCTTCAGTGCGTTTCGCCATTCGCCATTCCCACCGATTCGAACGCGTCTTCTTTGCCCCCCAACGGCTGCCTCCAGATCGCACCGCCGCCGCCTATTCACTCCCCTCGCCTATCGTCGCCGCACGTCCTCGAGGTGCGGGGCGTGACCGGAACCAGTCGCGCCGTGCCGTTGCCAATCGGTAGCCTGTTCGGCTGAGCTTATACGATCGTAGATAATAAGTTTGAAACAGAAACAGTATTTTTCTTTTTCACCAAGTCAGTCTATAATATATAATCGTAGATAATAAGTTAGAATAGTATTTTTCTCTGGCACCTGATCAGTCCGTAGTACTTCTGGGCCTCCACGATCTCGAAACGAACAGGCTGCGGATCGGCAAGTGAGGTCTGGGTTCAGGATGCCACCTCCGGCACCGGGATCCAACGACACCCCCGTTGCCGAGCGCTGGGCCTCACTGCCTGAAGATCTGATCCGCCTCGTCTCGTCGCGCGTGCTCGCCGGCGACCTGCTGGACTACGTGCGCTTCCGAGCCGTCTGCGGCAGCTGGCGGTCCGCCACCGCCTCCCCTCGCGGTCGCGGCGTCTTCGACCCGCGCTTCCACCCGCGCCGCTGGATGATGCTTCCCGAGGACCACGGCCTTCACCCCGGCCACCCTCACCTGCGCGGGTACATCCGCTTCCTCAACCTCGACACGGGGACCTTTGTCCGCGCCCACCTCCCTCTCTTCAGCGACCACTGCGCCGTCGATTCGGTCGACGGCCTCCTCGTCCTGCTACGGGACCAGGATAGCGCCGTCCGCCTCGTCCACCCTTTCACTGGCGACATCGTGGAGCTCCCACCACTGGCGACCGTCCTCCCGCAGCTAGGCATACTGCTGGATAGCTTACCCGCGCCACACAGGATCAAAAGGCTCGCGGAGTCAATCTGTTCTTCTGTTTCCTTCAGCGGTGGGACCATCACCGTTATGCTTGCACTTCACCGTTATGGACTCTGTCACCCTGGACCAGCAATGGACTCTGTCAAGCTGGAGGTACCAACTAGGATCTCCAGCACCTGTGTCATTCCAAGGCAAGCTGTACTTGGCGGGTTATGTCCTATTCTGCGATGTTATCCAGATTTTCCAGATTGATCCACCTGTGAAGGAGGGGGTGGGCTCAGGTTATGTGCTACACCCCCCGAAATTGATTGCCACAGTCCCTGATGGCAACCTCATTATGCCTGTTCATCTGGTAGAATGTGACTCGGAGGTCCTGGTGCTTGGTTACAAAGATATGACCTGGTCTCAGATTGCAGTTTTCAAGCTCACCGACCTTGTCATGCAAAGGTGTATCCCAATTACAAGCATTGGAGGCAATACTTTTTCATTACAGAAAGGGGCATCAGTGTCGCCCCTAGTGCATTGCCTGCTCCTATGGATGACAATGTTGTCTGTCTTGAACCAGCACAACACAATCTTGTGCAGTACCACCTCATTAGTGGCACCTGGTCACCGGCAACTGACGATTGCAGCCTGTTTGGTCCTGCACCAGGTCCTTGTGACCTAATCCACCTTATCTACAGTTGTTGCATTCGCAATCGATGGTATCCCCAGCCCTCTCTTTTTCCCTACATACCCTAATTTCAGTTTTGTTTGAACTAGCTGATTAGTTTGCACTGTGTGCTTGTAGGAACAGAGGGCTAGTCTTCGGAAGAGAGTAGGCTGGTACGGTCTCGTGTGAAGAGCAAGAGGCTAGTACTATGCTCCTGCGCCATCATTCCTTTGATTTCAGTACCAATAAATAGTGAACTAGGTTGGGCTGACATTTGCCAATACATTTTTTTAATCCTGCAAACACCTATTGTTTTACTTCCTCATCTCTATAGTAAGATATGCCCCTCTTTGCACCCAGCCAACACCGCAGAAAGTCTAGGTAGTTAGTTCCATATGTTAGTTCCCGTGCTGCTTACATTCCTCTATTTTATACACTAACCCAACTTTCAATTCTTTATTTTAAAGCCAACCCATTATATGTTGATTGACGTACTTTTATAAAATGGTGTGTTTTCCCTTCTGTATGCAGTTTTGCTATGTTATTTCAAGTTGGTTTTAGTTGAAAGTTACAGGTTTTTATACATGTGACATTGTTTTTTATCACACTAAATAGGACCTGTTTTGTAAGTGGTGAATGAGATAATCTGGGTCAACGGGTATGATGTGTGTGCGCTCGGGGTTCTTACACCTTTTTCTCTTCTTCATATAATGATACACAGCTCTCCTTCATGTTGTATTTGTGAGAAGAAACATGGTGAATGAGATAAAAATGCTTAAGTTCTAAGTTCAAATTAGAAACCAGTTCTTAAAATTCATGGAGCAAGCTCCTCTTGCAAACAAACATTTACAATGTGCACGTGTTAATATTTGACCTTACTTCTTTACTGATGAGAATGAAAGCAGATGGTTGTTCCAGCACAATCTATTCCCATTTTTCCCATTGAGTAATGAAATTGGCATGTTGGCACCCTTGTATTCCACACTCTTTGTTTTTTTGAAAGATTCCTTGCATTCCACACTCAGGCACAGATCCACTCATACATACCCAGCCTTGAAGCCTGTATCCTGTGTCCGTTGCTACCCATACTGTGACCCTTCTCCTGAAGTTCTCTTTTTGCATTGTCAAAATCCTACTGCCTAATAACACTAGAACTGTCATTAGTTTGCACATAGCAACATACATTAGCTTAGGACTTGGAATTTGAAGTTTAATCCAGTACTACTGGACTTCTTTTTCTTTCTTGGTCTATGATACGGTTTTTTTTTTCCTTCTTGCTGTTTTGCTTGTGCTTTTTCCTTTTTGGTTTTCTGTTTGGATCTATTCATATGCCTTTACTTGTTTTGCTATGAAATTTTTATCCCTGTTGACTTGGAAGTTTCAGATTATTTAGTGTTGTTACATGTAGATAAGCTTTTGTTTTAAGGGCTGACTAGATAATTCAGGATGTCACTCATTCTATGCGATTGGAATAAAGGACTAAAGCATTAGTGGATTTGCCCATATCTCGAATGTCTCCTTGGAAAAATGCTAGAGGGTATTGATGCTAGTGTCACTCGGGTGGAAATTATTTCAGATTTTTGCAATTGGTAGATTCTTTGCGTAGGTAGTCGTGTGTTAATTTCTGACCTGTCTGATTATATATTGGTTGGATTGGTATAATATTCCAGTTAACACTTACAATACACAATAATGTCTGTTACGTTGCAGGCAAGGGTAAAGAAGGAAATGTTGTAATTTAGAAGGAATCAACCAGGTTGGAGGATTGTCACAAGAGTCAAGTAAGTCTGTCTGCCATGATGCGGAATGGAACAAGCCTTGCCAGGTTGTTGAATCCCTCCAAAGCGAGTGAAGGCGTGTGTGGGATTTGAATCAGTTGTGTGTTAATTTGGGTCTAAATAGATCTATAATGTAATAATATAATATTGCATCCTAGTTAAGAGAAATCCAGTCCAATGTAACAGAGCAACAAAAGGTGAGCAAGTACTTACTTGTAATTCGGACGGCGACTCAATTCGATCATATTTCATTCATTTCCGTCGCGTTATATCACAATCCATTTATATTAGCCAGAAGAGTTGTATATATTATATTATCATGAATGCATGGTTTCCGGCAACACAGGATGTTTTTAATTAGTAAAGGTAATTGATGAACTTGAGTTACGTCAGGGTCTGGGAGTCGGCATGTACAGCGCGTCGGTAGCCGTCTGCGTCTCGCGAATTTGGGCCTGGATTGCAAGTTTTTTCGCTCTCTTTATTACAGCAAATCTTTGACACATATATAGAGTATTAAATGATGATAAAAAAAAATAATTAATTACATAGATTGATTTACAAATTACGAGACAAATCTTTTGAGCTTAGTTAGATCATGATTGGACAATAATTATCAAATACAAACGAAAATGCTACGATGCCAAATACTCATTCCTAACCGCAGTCTAAACGAGGCCTTGGCAAAGAAACCCTCGCACGCAGCTCCCAAGGCGAGGTCCTCGTCTCCTGAGAGGACGATGATGGCTCGTGCTCCCAGGTGTACTCGTCGTCTGAGCCGCGCGCTGTACAGAGTCGTCGTCTCCTAGCGACGAGGCGTGGGATCCAGCTGCGGCGCGCGGGACAATCCAAGGTACGCGCCAAAATCTTCCCTGCCCCCGCGAGCACACCCAAGCATTGAGCGCGGCGGCGGCGGTTAACCTGGACGGGGAGGCAGGCGGTGCACAGGGGCCCGTCGCGGAGCTCCAAGGAACTGCCGGATTTCGCCGCGGAGCTGGATTGTGCGTGATTGAGTTGCTCCTTGCTTTTACAAGATGGGACCTGCGGGTTGCGGCGGCGTGTGATTGTGCAGCCCGCACTCGTTCGCCGCCGCCTGGCGATGAGATGACGACGCTGGAGACGAAGCTCATCCCCTCCCCTGCGAATGGCGTCAATGGCCTGGGTCTGGGCCAGCTGCTCGGCTCTCGTGGGGCTGACTGCTTGTCCATCCAGTCCATGGGCTTGTGGCCAACCTTTGCAGGTTCAGGAAATTGCATGTACTGGATCGGAGGTTGCTTGACGAGGTGCATCAATTTTGCTTGCATGCTAGGTGCTCGAGAAAATTTCCATGAAGTTGCTTGCATGCCTTGTGGTGTGAAATCAATGTAATAGGACATTCATGATAGATCATTGCTACATGTACTAAGCATTAACTATGTGTAGACAGTTAAATAGATAACTCTTGTCTGTGGATTGTATAAGCTGTCTGTGTTGCGGATTCCAATAACTTAGAGACCGGTCTGGTCTGTGGGTTGCATGATCATAGTAGTAATTGCTTATCAAACAAAAGTGACGTACACGTCTTTCAAAGTATCATTTCTTTCGCGATTAAGCAATTACTATTATGATCATTTTTCTTTGATAACCAATTATGTACATCGGATCCGAGCAGTCCATCCACATCAGCCCATGCATTTCATCCAACATTCACCCATGCATTCCATCCAATTCAACAATCCATTATTTCATCCAGCCACGAAAACTTTGATCTTGTCTACCCATATATATATATATATATATATATATGACCTTCCATGCAAACCTATGTGAATATCACAAAATACATTATAGAACATCGCATGTATATCTATATACTATTTATTTATTGATAGATTTTTTGGTATTAAATCTGTCAGATTTCATAGAAGATCATACGTATATTATATGAACATCATATGAACTATAAAATCTAATAGATTTGACCGTAGAAAATCTATCGACTGATAGCTAGACACTCCCATATGATTATATATAAAAAAGGAGAGCTCCAGGGTGATTAATGAGAATTTCAATGGAATAATCCCATCAGTTGAAAATTACAAAAAAAATCATCTCTACACACAAAAAAAATCTGGTACGTACGGTGGACTCAGGAGACATGTACTGATGTACGCGGCGCGGCGCGTAAGAAGTAAGAACTTCGACATGTTTTGAGTTGCAACGAACAGTATGACCGCTCATCAATCATGCAAGCTGGTATATGTGCAAAAAAAAAAGGACACGTATGTACTTGGTCTACGTACCAATCAATAAAAGGGCCGGAAGGTTAAAGACAGAAATATATTTCTTATATTCGAAGTGCAAGCAACCATGTATTTCTTATATCCGATTGCCTGCTGAATCCTTCTGCCCTCCGCTCCACCGCACCCCCTCGCTACACCTGCCACAGCAGCCGCCTCCTCTTCGATTTTTTTTTATTTTTAACATTTTTTTAAACTAATTTTAAATTTAATACTGTTTTTTTTCCTTTCAAAACTAACACTTTTGGCCGCGCCTATTACCAAGACACGGTGAAACGCCTGTGCCGCACCATGTATGGTGGCGCGGCGGGAGGATGACGTGGCGATGACCAGGGCTGTTGACCGGTGACGTGGCAGGGTCTGCCGCGCCAAGATCGGTGGCACGGCAAAGCCGGATAAAAAGCCCGCGGCCCAGTCCCGCCTGCCTGCCGCGCCCGCCGCGCATTCGCTCTGTCTGCCCGCCGCGTCCACCCGCCTGGCCGCCGCGCTATGATAAACCCTGAGAATATGTTGGAGTTTGTGTGTCCAAACAAGCATGAAGTAAGTGCAAAGTGTATATGTTGAAATGTTGAGCTATATGTGTTCATGTACTAATGTCACCTTATTTAGGTGTTTTCAATAGCGAAGTGACGTTTCAAAGAGTGGTTGTATGGTCCTAAGAGTCAATGGCCCGAAGAACCGCCAAAGACAAAGCAAAAGAAGAAAGAAATATTAATTTACAAAGCACCTTCAGTCAAGTGCGAATGTGGTGTTAAATCCAACTACGGTCTAATCCCTTCAGAGCTTGGAATAGGTCATTATTGCGGTTATATGGTTGACTATGATGAGATTGTTTATTTTTGTGGTAAACATAAAATCGTATTTTGTTTCTTTTGCTAAGACATATATGATATAATTTTTCATTTGAACAGAGCACTAGGAAATGCATGTGAGAATGTTATGATAGTCAAGCTAAGTTCTTGGATGAGCTGAAGGGGAAGCAAGTAATTGCACGGAAGAGGGGATATGGACCTGACTACGTCAACCTATTCGTTAAACATCACAAAGACAAGATGCGTGAGGTTACTAGACAACACGGTATTTGTAACCCGATCGATGTTGGGATTGACAAATGG